TATATACCTAGATATAGAGAAGCCAATGGCTTCGCCTTCTGCAGTAATAGACGACTAACGTACCCTCATGCATCTTTAGGCGGCTACCACGTCGGTGACGACCCCGATTCGCGAACGTTATCGACGCTCAAAGAGAACGGCATCACCAACTACAAGCACGCAGCTCGCAAGGTCAGTCAATGGGCCAATTGAGTACTATGACTGGGAGACATCAAAACTGATATGTTCCGGCAGCTTCGCGATAGCGATTTTAAGGAGTTCGATTACATCTTCGCCATGGACAATAGCAACCATAGTGACGTGCGAAGATGGCGTAGCAGGAAACAGGTCGATGGAAAAGCGCAGGTCATGCTCTTCGGCGAGTTCTCGGGCACCGGTCGCAAGGAGGTCGTTCAGGATCCGTACTACATCGACGGCGATGCTTTCAACAAGACCTATGAACAGTGCCGGAGGTTCTCGGAGAACTTCTTGGCAACCACCTTCCCCGACGTGCCGCGGCCGACCAAGTGAAACAAGTGCACGCAAAATATATGACTTGCACCAAATGCGTTTCTACGCGCCCCTTGCGCGCAAGACTCATAGAGATCTGCTCAATAATGCAGCTCTCCGACCGTTACAATTCGACGCCGAATGACCTCACATGAGGATGAATTACTATCATATAACTCGTAATTCCTCGAACGCATGGATGCTTTGCATATAGAGGATAAATCTAGAACCGACGCATGATGTATCGCTAACTAGCATCATGAAAGCTTAGATATATCTAGAAAGTTAGCTTAGAAAAAAAGAGGCTGTGCTGACACTCGACGATGTGTAACCATTGAAGACAATACCTGGTATATTATTTTTGGCAGTGAGTCCGAAGTTGTGGCATGAATGAAGTGACTTATTCAGTAGATCAGCCTCAACTAAGCCCCCTTCAGCCCCTCTTTCTTTTTCCTTGCCGGTTCCTTTCGCTGGCCATTCCCACCCCGCCGGGTTAATACTAATCGGTAACATACTGCCACATCATAGCTAAGTAAGAGCTAACTCTACCTTAATTTGCACTACTAACTAAAGCGGGTGGTTTTCTCGACACCCCCAGTATTCGCTGGCTGTTCAAGTTTCTCACTCGCCCGATCGCGAAGGACCGGAGTTCCACGTTGATTTACGATAACTTAGTTTAGTAATTGGTGTCTTTCATAATAGAAGGTCGTCCGTTTGTCATGGGGGTCGGAAATGACAGCGCAGGAAATTGCGCGGCTACATGTCGACAGGCCCAATCATGTCGTTGATGACTGCAGCCAGCGGCTATAGGGCTCAGCGGTGGGGGCCAGGGCAGTGCAGGGGAACCCAGAACAGTGGGTCAAGCCTCGTGAACAGGCCAATGGAAGCGGCCGCGCTCTTACATAGTCTGACGCTGTCTGCGGGGTCTTCAACTCTTTGGGTCGTCTCTGGGTACACTAAACTCCCCCTCCATCTACCTCTTTCTCAGGGGCTTTGAGGGGATGGGGCAAGCCTGAGGGGTACTAGATACGCTACACTAGGTTCAGCAGTAACCCCTCCAATGTTAACGCTTTCAAGTCCGACACTTTGCTTTGCTTTGCTTTCTCCTCCTTTGCGCCTGATCGCGAAGCTCGAGTACAACTTGCCCTACCTATCTATATATCCTTGGCTCACTTACGATACCCAACGTGCGACCATTGAATTGTTTACCTCTTTTCCCTACTTCCTATACTTCGTATCTGCGCGCATCAAAAATAGAGTCTCCCGACTTCTCATCTTCAAGTGACAGATCAGAGTGGCAGAGTCTCCTTCCATGACCAAGACCTTGCCGCTACCAACGACGATCGCCAACAACGTGCCTAACCAACCTTAACTACCTACCCAGCGTTACATCAACCCAGCCAAGGGTATACGACAGGTATCCATTGCATAACCTACCTCATACATACTACAGTCTACAGTGCCTACCTATCTTAGCATTCATTTATATACCCACAGCCTGCTTAGCCAAGATCCAGGATTAGATATAGTTCGCTTACTACCGAATATAATTTTCCATCCGCGCTGCTTCCGTCATTATTCTCCCATCCTATCTATCGACTCTTTGCTTCCTCGGCCTCGGCTAGTATTCAATTCATCTCTTATTAGATAACACCAACACCGGTGTGATTCTTTAAAGGCGAGCGCGCTCGTGGTTGTTCGGTGCTTTTTTCATTGTCCTTCTGCCTGTGCCACCCTCTCCACCCTCGCCCGACCCCTCGAAACAGGTCTCGAGTCGCGGTTTAACACCCGAAACCAGACCAGACCAGACCAGACCGACACAACCGCTGAAATCCAATCCAATAAGAACCGTTCATCATGGCCGATCTACAGGGCCGCAAGGTCTTCAAGGTCTTCAACCAAGACTTCATCGTGGACGAGCGATACACCGTCACAAAGGAACTAGGACAGGGTGCCTACGGTATTGTTTGGTACGCGCGTTCCCGTAGACCTTTCCGTTTATCAGTATCTCGTTAGACCGACTGACTGACATGACTTGGCACGAACAGCGCTGCCGTGAACAACCAAACGAATGATGGTGTTGCTATTAAGAAAGTGACCAATGTATTCAGCAAGAAGATTCTTGCTAAGCGCGCCCTGCGCGAGATCAAGCTGCTCCAACACTTCCGAGGACACCGTAATGTAAGAGATCCCGCGAGTCGCGCAAATATAATTGCCTTTATCCTAGACTTGGATTTATTGTTGGTTTCCGAATCGGACTAACATGCGCGCCGTAGATTACCTGCCTCTACGATATGGACATCCCCCGCCCTGAAAACTTTAACGAAACCTACCTCTACGAGGGTGTGTATCTATGAACCGGAAGAGTTGGGGACTATCCTGCTGACATGGATGCGCAGAGTTAATGGAGTGCGATCTGGCCGCTATTATCCGCTCCGGCCAACCCCTGACCGACGCTCACTTCCAATCCTTCATCTACCAGATACTATGCGGCCTGAAATACATTCACTCGGCAAACGTATTACATCGTGATTTGAAGCCCGGTAATCTGCTGGTAAATGCCGACTGCGAACTGAAAATTTGTGATTTCGGTCTCGCCCGTGGCTTTTCAGTCGACCCGGAAGAAAACGCAGGCTATATGACTGAATATGTAGCCACACGATGGTACCGCGCACCAGAAATCATGTTGAGCTTCCAAAGCTATACGAAAGCCAGTATGTCTCAAAATGGATATCTCACACAATGGGATTCTAGTGATATCCTGACTAACAGATTATAGTTGATGTCTGGTCTGTGGGATGTATTCTTGCTGAACTCCTTGGTGGACGGCCTTTCTTCAAGGGCCGTGACTACGTCGACCAATTGAACCAGATCCTTCATATCCTAGGTACACCTAATGAGGAGACGCTCTCGCGCATTGGATCATCTCGTGCTCAGGAATATGTACGAAACTTACCCTATATGCCCAAAAAGCCGTTCCCGACACTATTCCCTAACGCCAACCCCGATGCTCTCGATCTTCTCGACCACATGTTGGCCTTCGACCCCTCCTCGCGCATTAGCGTTGAGCGCGCGCTCGAACACCCCTACTTACAGATCTGGCACGATGCATCAGACGAGCCAGATTGTCCAACCACCTTCAACTTCGACTTCGAAGTCATTGATGATGTGGGTGACATGCGGAAGATGATCATGGATGAGGTGTTCCGGTTTAGGCAACATGTACGAACTGATCCAGCCACCGCTGCGCAGATGCCCGGGGGACAGCCAGTGCAACCCGGTCAAGTACCCATGCCGGAAGGCGGGAACCAATGGCGAGCAGAAGACCCCCGGCCACAGGAGTATATGAACCAAGTCGGGGGCCTCGAAGGTGAGCTCCAGGGTGGACTGGATGCTGGCAGACGATAAAGAGACGACTGGTCAGTGAGCAACCAGGTGCAGTGGATGTGTAGACGACCTTGTGTGGAGCAGCCATTGTGGGTAGTGGGTTAGATTTATCTTATAACACACTGAGGAAGCTGGGTGAAGGCATTTTATACAATCGCATACTACATAGGGGGCATGAGGGAATATGTTGCAGCCAGTACCGACATGAAAGTTTGCAGCTGGGTCATCTATAAGCCCATATATGTGGAACTCCCCTCGGGCTGACGATATCTATCTATCTCGACTTGGAGCGTTTGGGTTTAAAAGCGAGTATGGGAAAGATGGGCGACGAGTACCAATGATCAAGAATGGGAGTTGCCGGCGGGAATGGCTTCTTTCTTTTTCTTTTGTCATCTTAGTCTTCCAGTTAACGAAAATAAATTAGACGACCAGTTAAATAATACCAAAGCACAATCTGATTTTTTAAGCCCTTTTTTTCGTTGGCCTCGTGATTTCGTAGTTAGGAGAATGCGTGCTGAGGTGCAAACATCGAGGGTGATCGAGATGTATTGGTGTAAGTTTGCTATCTATATTCTAAGTTATCGAGGCCGTCCCATGCTTACGTGTTTACATCTACCTATATGATGTACACTCCTACTCGACTATCTCGGCGTAGTAGTAGTATATCCGACTCATCGCTAGTCCGCCAGTTTCAATAATCACAATTACTAGCCAATCGCGGGCAAATACATGCTTTCACCGCTTATACTCTGCCGAACTACCTAATCGCACGAGGAATGAGTTGGTTACCGAATTACTATAGATGCGTACTTACGTGTATAGTTGGTTGTTGTGCAACAACACCACCAGCGAACACATTCGTAAGTAGTGTCACCTGATATGTTTCTCCATATAACCAGACGGAGCGAAGAGTAAACTAAAGATTCAGTTTCGCAGTACATGTGATAGAAAGTCCATTGCGCTTGTAAATGCTAAGTGAACATACAGTAGCACTATCAGACTTCCTCTTCTATTCACTGGGAGGTCGCGGTGGTAGAGTAGTGGGTGAATGACTAGATTGGTTCCGTAAGCTGGGACCGGCGGAGGCTTGGGCTCTTAATCTGAATGAGTGGCCCATTTCGCCACTCCTGATAGCTCAGTTGGTAGAGCGATGGACTGTAATTGTCGTCTATGAGATCCACAGGTCGCGTGTTCGACTCACGCTCGGGAGACTTCCTCTTTTTACATTTTTTGGGGTTACAAAATCATCGTTTACCTATCTATATATAGATACGGCTCGGATATTCGGCTCGGATATTCGTTATCCTCAAAAAGAATTTTCGTTTTCTTTTCTTTACAGTTCGTGTCTTAGGGTTTGCATTGGGCCAGGTATTAGGGGCTTTAACTTCACAACCTGGGTTGATGTACTCTTTGCCTTGAACGCCGTTCTTTGGCTGAAAGATAATAAGCCTAAAGCTATGCCGCGGAAGTCTCTTAACGACATCTTGCATGCTAGTCGTCTCTTAGACTTCAAAGGCGATTTATTATATTGATCTAAGAGTTGTTGTTTGGTAATCAGTCCTCCATGCCCCTGTTTATTTCATAACGACGAAAAGTACCCTATATGCAGATAAGTGCCTTTAGGTTCCTGTTATATGGGATCTTACAAGACAATAGAGTTGATGCCACACTGCAAGACCCCGAGGCTCTTGGAAAATAGTAGGGTGCTGGGAAAATGCTCGACTAGTTAAAAATACATTATTCTACCAGACTTTAGACTCATTTCCTAGTCTGAGGGGAAACTGTCACGGAACAGAACTGCAACACTAAACCACAACACTACTTGAAAAAGTAGAACGTTGTCAAGTTGGGAACTTGACCGTTTGCAGCCACTTATAAGGCTCACGGTTGAGACCGTGACAGAAACTGCCGGTATGCTTAATAGGCTATCTAAATGTAGAGATATTTCTCTAGCGCGCGATGCGATGTGAACAAGTTATCTACAGCATATTCAGGGCACACACACCGGTTTGATAGGTGGTAATTGTATTGAGGGCAGCGTGAGCCTGTTTAGGCTAGTTTTTGCGGCAAAGCCGATGCCAATATTGGACTGTGCGGTCTGCTAATCCAAGGCTTCGAAGTTGTAGTGGTAAGGCCTCAAAAGATAGCCCGAACTGCCCGAACTAAGCTAAAAAGAAACCGAGTCGCCAATAAAACAAATAAATCAAATAACTGGGATTTGAAAAAGCAAAGCGTAGGTAGGGAGGCGAGCGGGCGAAATCTCGCGGATTTCGAACCGACTGGCTGCCAGCAGCTTCTTCGTAACATTAACATATCCCCCTCCCGCCGTTGACTGTAGGAAAACACGATAATGAGTCATCATCTAGAAGGGACTATAGACATTTCCGTGAGCAGAACCCAAGTGTCCACCACTAGTAGAAATATTTAGGGTCTTCCTTCAACTTCCACTGCACCCTATCTCCGTTCTTTCTCTGCCTCTCAGTGTTGAGGAGCTCAGTCTTAGCGTCTCGATGCATCTTAATATTCCAAGCTGCTTCGTTGTATTTAATGTACTTTGTGAATGACCTCGGCCATCTATCCTTAGGATCCTCAACTTGGATGAATGAAAGGGCACGATCCGTCCTAGGATTCCATCAAGTCAGATTTCTGGTGTCCAATACAGTGTTCCAAATGGGAATTACATGTTCTTATTAATAAGTAAGCCCCCCTAGTCACGGGCCCTAGGGCTGCGGGCCACCCAAATTTATTTATTTTACATACAAAACTACCAAATTCGGTATAGTTAAAAGAAATCGGAAAAATGTGGGGCTAGTATAATAAAATGTAAAAAAGTCGGGATATTTATAAAAAAAATAGAAAAAAATATTATTACTAATAAAAATATTAAAATAACCCAAAAAAAAATAATATTTTTTTAGAATTTTAAAATCGAAACATTTTTTTATATAAATTATTAATAAATCTATTAACTATATAAAATTTTTTTCGAGCTTTAGGTTTAAAAAACCAAATATTTTAATGCTTTTGTTTTTAACAAATAAGTTTACAAAATAAGTAAAACAAAAGTTACTTATAGTTTTTAATTTTTTATTACTATTATTATAACCTAATTAAAAAATGCTTTTTTTTTGTTTAAAATTAGTATGCTAATATATTTTTTATTTTTTTGCTTACTTATTTACTTTTTTACTTATTTATTTATTTATTTATTTAGTTTTAAATATAAATAATAATGTTAGTAAAAAAATTTAATAAATATAATACATGTTTATATTTAAATTAGCTTAATATAAAAGTTAAAATAATATTATATATTTATACTTTTAGAAAAGTTAAAATAGCTTTTAAAAAATTAATTAATTTAGCTAATAATGTTTTTAAAAAAATAGCCTAGCAAGCTAAAAAATTGTTTAATATAGTAATAATAATAGTTAAAAAATATAGCTAATACTAATAACAATAAAACAAAGCAAAAAATAAAATAATTTTATATAGTTTAAAACTTTTATTATAGTTATTTTTAAAATTTATTTAAATAATTATATAGTATTTATATTAGGTTTATATTTTAGCTATATTTTAGCTATATTTTAGTATATTATAGCTATATTTTAGTGTATGCTAGCTGTATTTTAATATATGCTAGCTATATTTTAATATATGTTAGTTATATTTTAATATATATTAGTTATATTTTAGTATATTTTAATTATTTTATATTATTTTAGTGTTTAGTTTATTATTATTTTAATATTTAGTTTATTATTATTTTAGTATATTTTAATATATATTTTAAGTTTGTTTTAGTTAGCTATAGCTACTAAAACTACTAAAAATTATGCAAAATTTTTGCCGATATAATAATAAATATTAACGTACTATTAATTAGCAAGTAATAAAATATTAATTAGCAAATAGTAAAATATTAATTAGCAAGTAATAAAATAATATAGTTAATAATAAACTTAAAGTATATAAAATATTATAATAATAAAATGTAGTAATAGTTAGTTAAAAAGTAATAAAGTGTTAGTTAGGTTAAAAAGTAGTATAATAAGTAAAAAAAGCATAAAAACAAAAGTTTCTTTGCTTTTAAACGTAAAGGCCTTTAATATTATAGTAAAGCTAAAAATAAATAAAAATTAGTTTATAAAATATAAATAACTATTATATTTTAATTTTAAACTTATTTTTTAATAGCTATTTTATTTAACTATATAGCAATAATTATATATTTATAACCGACTTTATTATATAAAAATAACTGGGTGCAAAAAAAAAGCAAGCGTTATGCATTTAATATTTTAATAAAAATCAAACTATTATAAACCAACTATAGAAAAGCTAGTTAAAAAGGCTAAAAATGGCCGAGTTAAAACAAAACATATAAAAAGTTATATTTTAATTAAAAAAATATATATATATTGCATATAAATAGGCGTTTGTAAAGCTTATAAAGCTAAAACCAATAAGTATAATAAGCTTATGCTTATAAAGCTTATATAACTTATAGCAATAAATTAAACAAGCAAAATAAACAAATATATAATTAAACAAAAAAACTTTTAATAAAATTATATTTATAAAAAAAAAAAATATTATATATAATAAAAAAATTTTTTATATAACTAGTTTTTTTTTATTTTATTTATTAATTTAAATTTATTTAAAGTTTTTAAAATAAAAGTTATACTTTATAACTATTTATACTTTTATAATATTATTGCTTAATAAATTATTTTATAATATTTTACTTTAAAAATATATTTTTATTAAGTACTAAAAAATTTTACTATTATATAAATATAAAGTTTAATAATTATAATATTTTAATAAGTTTTGTTTAATATTATAATTAATTTATTAAACAATAAAAAATTATATTTATAATTTTAATATTAATGTTAAATATAATTGTTTAATAGTTAAATTAAATATATTAAAAACTAACTAAACTAAAAAACAAAAATTAACAATTAATAAAACAAATTATAAATATACTACTATTATATTATAAACTAAACAAACTAGTATAATTTAATAAAAACTTAAAATAAGTATAAGTATATTTTATATAAGTATAAACCTATTTAAATAATTATATAATTATAAAAAAATAACAAAAGGTTATAATTATAAAAAAATTTTTCGAAAAAAATACTTTAAAATAATAAAAGCTTAAAATGCAAAAACATTTAAAAAATTAAAATAAACTAATTTTTAATAACTTTAAAAAGTTTAAAAAGCAGTTTAAAAATATGTTTAAAAATCTAAAAAAAAAATAACAAGCTAAAAAAAAACTGCTAGCTATAAAACAAAAAAAATTAGTAGTAAAATATATAGTATTATTTAAGCAAATATTATTTAAAACTTTATAAAATAATAAAAATATTATAATAACTATATTTTATTATAAACTTAAAAAAAAAATTAAAAATAAAATCTATTGTATAAAAAAACTTAACAATTTTAATAAATATATAACATTTATAATTAAAATTAATAATAAACAATATAAATAATGTTTATAAAAACAAAAAAAAACAATAAATTATTACTTTAAATATAAGCAAAAAAAAAATAATATAATTAATTATATTAAAAATATATATAAAACTAATAAATAACTATATATTTACAACCGACTTTATTATATAAAAATAACTAGGTGCAAAAAAAGGGCAAGCGTCGCGCATTTAACGTTTTAATAAAAATTAAACCATAACTATAATATATAAAACTAATAAAATTTAATGCTATAAATAAAAAGCAATAAAATTTTTATAAAATTAAATATTATAATTATAACTAAATAAAACATATAGTATTATATTATAAAAAACTAAAAAAACTTAAATAATAAATAATAGCTATAAAAAACAATAAAATATTTAAAGTAACTAAACAAAAAAGCTTAAAAATATAAATTAATATTATAATTATTAAAATAAAAAAAGCTAATAAACAAATTAATAAAATAAATTTTAAAAAAATATATAAAAATTAGCTAAAAAGCAAAAAATGCTTTAAACAAAATAAATTATACTATTATAAGTAATATAACTACTAAATATATAAAAAATAATTAAAGTAATTAGTATAAAAATTTATTTAAAAAAAATATACTATTATAAAAACTATAAAAAACTATAAATATAAAAAAAAACAAATCTATAAAACTAATAAAAAAACTTTATTTATTATGCTAAAC